ATTGTACAGTGGCATTAAGTGCCGAAATGTGCACCTCTGCCTACCCCTTCGGAAAGACGTGATGTTATGTTATGATGTTATTATGGTTTAGTAACTTAAGACAAAAATATTTATTGTTTTTTCACAAGGTAAAAGGATAAAATAAACAACGTTTTATAGAAAAATTAATACTGTATAAAGAGACTGCTTTTCCCATTCTGTTCTATTATTTAGCTGAAACTTTCACAGCCGAAATAGCTCAGTTGGGAGAGCGTTAGACTGAAGATCTAGAGGTCCCCGGTTCAATCCCGGGTTTCGGCAAACTTTTTGGTTGTATTATTAACACTGTTATTTATTTTCTATTCATATTTTATCGACACGTGAAGTGCAATTTGTTTTTCAGTGACACAGCCGAAATAGCTCAGTTGGGAGAGCGTTAGACTGAAGATCTAAAGGTCCCTGGTTCGATCCCGGGTTTCGGCAAATATATATTTTTTTATGTAATCTTTAGTTTTATATTGCCGCGTAAACTCTTGTTTTATCATGATGAAACACAGCCGAAATAGCTCAGTTGGGAGAGCGTTAGACTGAAGATCTAAAGGTCCCTGGTTCAATCCCGGGTTTCGGCAGTGCTCTCTTTTTTAACTTTTCCTGTCAAATTCAAATTCATTTATTAGGATTAAAGTATGGTGTTATAGGTGTTACAATGAAATCAGAGCGTACATGTTCTGCTAAAGATACATAGCATGCAAACTTACAGCCTGGATAGGCGTTAGATTGCCTCATAATAACTAAATACCAATTACATCATGTTATAATAAATATAAAATAGTTGTATAATTTTACCATTTTCTTTAATAAGTGTGGGAGAGCTATGCTTCGGCACGAATGGGCCGGCTCGACCGTAGTGATACCATGGCCTCACAGAAAACCGACGTGAAACAATGCTTGTGTTGTGTTTCGTTGTGTGAGTCAGGTTACTGGAGGCCCAGTTACCCTCCCCTTCCCCAATCCCTCAATCCCCAACGATCCCCCCTAATCCCCAAAAAGCCGGTAACGCACTTGTAACGCCTCTGGTGTTCCAGGTGTCCATGGGCGACGCCGATTGCTTACCATCAAGTGATCCGTCTGCTCGTTTACCGGCTTATCCCATAAAAAAATTCAATAAATTGAGCAAAAACTAGCGCCACGTTGAATATTTATAAACGTTTATACAGACATTCGTTGCAAGTCAAAGTCATAGGGATGCATAATTAGCCTTTAATATTAAAATTCAATGGATGTAGTGTATTCTGAATATTTGACCAGTCTATCGGTCGATCTAACACCTGTGCTGATCACGTGCAGATATCGCAAACGTGATGGTGCGCACTATTGTCATCACAATTGTATCTCATTAGAATTAGGGTTCAGGAATGTATGGTGATTGGGTTTAATCAACATACATAACATCACGCCTTTTATCCCCAAGATGCACATTACGGCAATTAATGCCACTGTACAATGTAACACGCACTTTTCACTATTTATGTTATGAGACCCAAGTAATAGGGGGTGAGCCTATTGCTATATACCGGGTAGCACTTCGGGAATAGAAAGACGTGATGTTATGTTATATGTTAAAATAATTCAGTAACGCAAAGTTCTATTTAAGCAGTCTTAGAAATGTTTTAAAATATAATCACGATTTTTGAACAGTCGCGTGTCGGTGTACAATTTTTTTTGAAGACGTTTTGTACTTCTTAATATTCTGTAGACTCAGATCGATTGATTGATTGCTCAAAAGTCCAAACAATTATCATAGAGAAACGTGGTAATGATATAGGAGTTCATACGTGATAGGTAACACAGAAAACCGACGTGAAGCAACGCTTGCGTTGTGTTTCGTCGTGTGAGTGAGGTTACCGGAGGCCCAATTACCCTCTCCTTCCCTAATCTCCCCAATTCCTGAATCCCCAACGATCCTCAAACTCCTAATTCCCCAAAAGACCGGTAACGCACTTGTAATGCCTCTAGTGTTCCAGTGACGCCGATTATTTACCATCAAGTGATCCGTCTGCTCATTTACCGGCTTATGCCATAAAAAAGGTATTTTTTAAACGGTTTTATTTGGTTCTATGTTTATTGCTAACTTTTTTTCAATTTAGTTAAAGGGTTTGGTCGGGAAGGTATAAGCAACATGATCATCTGTATCTAGGGTCTAAACAACATTTTAGCCCAACTTTTAGCGCAAAGCAGGTGGTGAATCACGCCAATATTGTGAAGTAAATTGCAACCAGAAACACCCCTTAACTCTAACACTTTCATTCCGAACACTCACCATCAGGAGGTGAGTTCCTAACTTTGGGTGAGAAAATAGGTTGAAACAAAATAACAGTGTTGTTCCCTGAACCGTGTTTTAATTAAAAACTAAAAGCTAATCTGTGCCCGCTTAATTTACTGTCAGCTCTGAGTGATTAAAGAATAGAACATTGAAACACAAAAATTGTTATTTGGTGCTCTCGATATAGTCTCACTTTTATGGTTTGCTATTTTTTTTATAGCATAAGCCGGTAAACGAGCCTACGGCTCACCTGATGGTAAGCAATCGTCGTCGCCCATGGACACCCGAAACACCAAGGCGTTACAAGTGCGTTACCGGCCTTTAGGAAATTGGAAATTTGAGGATTGTGGAGGATACGGGGATTCGGGAGACTAGGGAGGGGGGTAATTGGGCCTCCGGTAACCTCACTCACACGACAAAACACAAAGCAAGCGAAACAAATTTCACGTCGGATTTCTGTGAGGCCGTGGTATCACTCCGGTCAAGCCGGCTCATTCATGCCGAAGCGTGGCTCTCGCACACTTAAAATATATACATTTTACCTATTCGTCGACTAAAAACTATTATGCTCGTTTTCACTATCTAAAGAAAGAAAGAAAGAAACTAAACTAAACTTCAAGCTAAATGATATTCAACGGCAATTTTTTCCCAATCTAGGTAGAAGGGTCGCATAACAGTACACTCAAGGGGTTAGTTTAGATGCTACGACATATTAAGTAACATTTGAATTTTTTTTTAGTGGCAAGCGTAACTAACTTTCAATTAAAAGAGGGTTTTTTATAAGGGGGGAAAATCATCGAATGACTGCTCCCGCCTGGGTGTGGCGGGAGGGAGTGTCAGACTCTTACTGACTAAAAACCACCCCGTTCCTTCTCCTGCACGTCGAGCCAGAGCCCCGGTTACCCGTTAGGTTCTCCGCGACTCCAAATCGGCATCGGCCCTATTGGTCCGGCATCGGCCCTGTTGGGCCCCATCTGTGGTGGTCTGATGGCTCTTTGAGGCGCGCGCGGAACTCGACGCGCCGTACGCTCAGTTAAAAGAGAGTTAGGGGTGGTCAACGAAACCTGCCATTAATCTTTTTTAAAAAAAAATATAAGGGATCATATTGAATAAAATTAGGTTCTGACTCTTACTTCGAAATTAGGAACTTCCTGGCTGGAGTGCTCGATGATCGCCTGACTGATGGCTAGCTGGACGGCCAGGAAACCAGCTCGCAAGTGAGGGTTGGAAGTCTCTCTGTTCTCTGCGTCGGAGACGAAGCGAGCTCGTTCCGTGCTGCGAATGCTCAGCGTCCAAATGTTATCTTGCTGAAAGAATTACATACATACATAACATCACGCCTGTTATTCTCGAAGGGGTACATAGAGATGCACGTTACGGCACTTAATGCCACTGTAAAATGTAACACCCACTTTTCACTATTTATGTTATGTTATGAGTCCCATGTAATAGGGGGTGAGCCTGTTGCCATATACTGGGCACAATTCCAGACTCCGTGTTACCACTGAGATTTTTTCTAAAACCTTGTAATACTTTGTCCGACCTGGGAATCGAACCCAAGACCTCTTGCCCGGGAGTCGCACTTGCGACCCCTCGACCAACGAGGTAGCTGAAAGAATTGTATGTATGACTTAAAGCGTCAAGTGCCAATGACTTACATGGTTTAGTTAATATATGCTATAGCTAGTATATATTTTTTTTTATTGGGGGAATATCATCGAATGACTGCTCCCGCCTAGGTAAGGCGGGAGGGAGTGTCAAACTCTTACTGACTAAAAACCACCCCGTTCCTTCTCCTGCACGTCGAGCCGGAGCCCCGGTTACCCGTTAGGTTCTCCGCGACAGCTAGTATATAATACCGTACTATTATGGTAAATGTGATAGTGTATTTATACGTCTTTTACAGCAAAACGGAGTGAAAAATTGACGCTTTCTTATTTTGAGGAGATTGATATTTGTTTAAAGCATTTTTTAAATTTATTTGGTATCCGGACTATTACCCACGAGTAACAAAACCGCGCATATTTTTTTTAAATCAGGCCTCTATTACTTGAAATAGCGCGAGTGGAGCTGCGGGTACAAACTAGTGTGTAGGTACCAACAATGTAGTGCGACCGCCGAGCAAGGAGTTTCATATTTCCGAGTTGAACAAAGTAAGTTATATTAGAATAATATTACAATATTGTGCCCGATATATGGTAATAGGATCACCTCTTATTGCAAGGAGCGAATTTGATTGATTAATCTAATCAATTCCAGTATTGTTAGTGTAAAATTTCATTACCTCTATAATTGGATTAGTTTTTAATCGTAAAACTATATAAAACTGCTTTGTCGTTTATTATGCCAGAAAGTGATGCAACGATCGCAGTATATCGTGCATTTTTTTTTTACACAAACGTTTAGACAACATTGTCAATTTTAGGTTTACATATACAGCCGAAATAGCTCAGTTGGGAGAGCGTTAGACTGAAGATCTAAAGGTCCCTGGTTCGATCCCGGGTTTCGGCATACTTTTTGGTCCCTTGCATACAAACCTTTGGTTTCCAGATGACCCATATGACAGGGCTCCTGAGTGGAGCGCCACTAGACTTGTTATATAACATTTCATTTAGATCATACTCAGTCTGAGCACTCAGGATTTCTGAAAGAAAGAATGTGTATTTTATTTATTGTTATTATAATATATTAAGTATTTATATTTATACTATATTTTTTTATAATATAGTTATTATTTGGCTTTAGTTTTTTTATACATATTTCTTATTTTTCTGTTACACGCTGTGTCTTTTGTTTTAATTACATTTCCTGTCTCAGGTCTACTGGAAGAAATTCCAACAGGAATAAGTAGCACCTTTGTACTCTTATGTGTTATCCTCTGTGCTGTTTGTGTGTACATAAATTATTAAATAAATAAATAATGTTGTGGACTTATCACATACATTTTAGGTAACAAAATATCATAATAGAGGTTATATAGAAAAAGTGAAAACTACAAGTCCTGAAAAGAACAATTATCTATACCAGCCTAGATGAATATTAACTATATACCATAACCATAGTCAATGACAACGTCATTGCTAGAACCATAGGGTGTAGACCGAAAAAGGGATAAGCCTAATGTGCGCTCGGTAGACGACATTATAAAAATAGCAGGCATCTAGTGGATGCGAGATATGGCAGACAGAGAAAAATAGACATCTCCTGAGGAAGCTTTTGAAGGAAGGGTTTTTGGATCCATAAATATATAAAGTCATGTAAAACACCGAAAATTAAAAAATAATAAAGTATCTAATTAAGTAATGCTTGTTGTTTTCAGTTTCGTTGTTTATGTTTGTTATTTTTTTAATTGTAAATGCTTTTTATTTTATTTATAACCTGGCATACGAGATTACCTGGCAAACTTTGTATCTGGAAAAAATGTTTTTCATCTTTTATTCCTTCCGTAAACTTCCACGAACATTGATTTATTTATTTTTAAACTTTTTTTTAAACGTTGCCCCATACTAGGATTTTCTCCTGTGTCGTGGGTGCGTTTACAAACATACAATATCACATACACATGACAACCAGACCCACAAGACAGAAAGGTTCAATTCATCCTATGACGGAAGATGCGTAGCGTATCGTATACCATGATGCATTAGTGCGTCAGGTTAGAACAGGTAGAATGTCTTACCATGCATTTGTCTGTTCTCGCGACACGCATGAGTGTGAATATCGCGGGTTCGATTCCCGCACGGAGCAACTGAGATGTGATCCACAGATTGTTGTTTCGGGTTTAGGTGTCATATGTATGTGAACTTGTATGTTTGTAAACGCACCCACGACACAGGAGAAAATCCTAGTGTGGGGACGTTAAAAAAATCAATATGTTCCACTTACCCAGTCCCAATAGAACACCAGCTCTATTCATAATAGTGACATAAGGTTGATTGTTGGGTGCATAGCCCAAAATATTATTAGTATGCAATGAAGCAAGGATATCTCTTGACGCCAATGGAGGTTCCGGCTCATCTTGCAGAGGGGTCAAGAATACTGGTAGCGCTATCCATATTGCTATTAAAAATAGAGTAACGCTGAACAAAGCTTCCACCAAAAGTAGACCTGCCCTTCGCCTGAAAAAAAATGTGAGTTATACATAGCATACAACATGAAGAAACTTTCTTGTATGTCGAGTAACTGCAATGAACGAGCATAAAATGTCAGGTTTAATTTATGAGCCTAACAAAGAGTTTCATACATACATAATAATATGTACATAACCTCACGCCTGTCTCCCATGGGGGTAAGGCAGAGACTATGGGACGCCAATAGCTACGATCCTTACATCAATATTGGTGCTAACGACATGTTTTTTTCAACATTTTATAAACGCAACTCCACTGTAGCATCAACAACTTGCAGAATATGAAGGCCAGTAACGAAGATTATAAAGGAAACAACTTGGTATCGATAAATACAAAATACTATTTTCTTCCAAAGCACATTTATAACAAAGAAACAAATATTACATCTCCTCTCATTAATAGTCCCGCCAACAGAATGCCGCCATCCGTTCAAAATCCCATTCGTTTTCCCGCCTTTTTCGACCGCCGTCTCTAAATCGTCCAAAATCATTTCGAGAATTCAAGCCCGTTCTATTTTTTTCAAACCCGCATTCCAATGTCATCAGTTGACATTTCGAGAATCCAAGTCCGTTTATTTTTATATGTTTGTTTATGGTCAATCACAAAGATATTTAGTCTATTACAAAATAAAAATACAAATCATAATATTAATGAACCCTAACAATTTGCAGTACCTTTGATATAAATCCTAAGCTTTAACAAGTTAATGGTGGTAAAAGTCACATAATTATAGCGGTATTTAACCTCTCTAGTAACTCTTAGGTATTACAGGAAAATCTTCGAATTCACCGTAGTTCGTGCTATTGCAGTAACATATATACATTTATATATATATTATATTATTTCATTTATTGTCAATTTAAGTTGCTATGTTATTTGAAATAGTTCAAAACTTTTATATTTATATTTTAAGGATTTTTTTATTTACAAATAATATAAACTTATATAAAATAACTACTACTATTTAGTAATAAATATATACAACTTAAGATAAAAATTAAATAAAAGAAAACTAAAAATAACTATTTACACAAAGCATCGAAAAATTCGTCCCAATCGACGTCAGTGGGGAAAGTACCCAGAAGGCTGGCAGCATTGCCACGGTGTATGGCAATGCTTAACCTCTGACCGAGGAATAGACCACCCCTATTGTCACGAGATGCGTCGACTAGGCGTTCAGTTTAGTTTACACTAAATAGTATAAGTAGTAAACCTTTTCAGCTGAAACTTTGAAGTATAACAACTACAATATTAAGTTAAATGTAATGTTAAATTACAAAGATACCAACTGCCTTTGCAAGTAACATTTCCATATAAGAATGCTTGTATGTCTTTGAAATCGGTTTCTCAACGACTTTTTCTTTTCAGTAACTTTCTTTTTCTCTGGTAAATGCATTTATTTTGAAGAATTTATCAGACTTTTCTAATAATTTCAATTATTACGTTAGATGACATTAAGGGTTTTATTGACAAATTGACAGATTTTATATTATTTATGGTTAATGTTATGGGGCCTGTTCAGGTACCACTCGGTACTGAACCACAACACTTCACTTTACTTCACTTCACTTCACTTTACTACTGGAAGACTCAAATAAAACAACTTCTTGCTTATGAGAGAACTTAATTTTATTCAAATAGCCAAGGGACCTATATAACGAGCGGAAAATCTTAACACCGCGATACACAAAAATGACGTCATTGCACAACTCCATCTATGGTGGACGAAGGAAAACAATACGCTTGTAGTTTTGCATCGGATGTGCTGCCATCTATGGTACAACGCGTGAAACACTAAGCTACTTGGCGTTGCATCGAATATGCTGCCATCTATTTTAAATGCGTGTTTACATTTACGACTTAACATCCCGCCCACCATGGACAGATTGTCCATAACGTTACTTGTTAATAACAACACAAATTGAGCAATATAAATAAAAACTAAACAATTGTGACAAAAATAATTGACAAACCGCCCACCGTGAAGCGATGGATCTACAAACATTTTACAATTGCTTACAACTAAAGATTTTGTTACAACGATTATTCGAAAGTGGACTGTAAAATAAACTAACAAATTAAATTAGAATTTTATACAAAACACAACCTTAACATAGACCAAGTTACACACCAAACGGCATAACAATGTGAACATACATCAAATCCCTTGACATAAAAATAAACAAAGAATAAACAAACATATACACAACACAAGAATATGCACAATACTCACAATATTTTACATATTATTCAAGTGGTAATGGGGAGTACAATTAACCTTGACACAGGTCTCTTAATAATTGTACCCTTACAACGTAATGACACTACTCGTGTGACCTTGTCAGAGCCAGGATGTTTTTCGAGAATTAACCCGTGAAGCCATCTCGCGGGAGGCAAATCATCCTCCATAACTAACACTACATCGCCTATTTTTGGTTCTACATTGTGATGAGTCCATTTGTTCCTCTGATGGAACTGAACGAGATATTCCAGGGACCACTTGCGCCAGAAATCTTGAACCAAACGCTGTGTCAACTGCCATCTCCGTAAATTACTTATATTTGACGTATCAAAGTTCGAGTCAGGTGCAAGTAGCAGCGGCTCTCCTATCAAAAAATGTCCCGGAGTGAGAGGACATGGGTCCTCTGGATGACAACTTATGGCTGAAATTGATCTGGAATTGAGGCATGCTTCAGTCTGAGCTAGTACTGTTGACATTTCCTCAAATGTAAGAGTGTTGTTTCCTACTACTCTTTTGAGGTGATGTTTGCAGGACTTCACTCCTGCCTCCCAAAGTCCCCCAAAGTTTGGCGAGAGAGGAGGGATGAAGTGCCAGGTTGTTCCGTTTGTTGCCAACCATTCCGAAATGTCAGCCTGTACACCAGATCGTTCGCGAGTGAATAACGATTGCAATTCTTTATTCGCTCCGACAAACGTAGTACCGTTGTCGCTCCACATTTCTTGACAATGACCTCTCCTAGCAGTAAACCGCTTAAAGGCAGCTAAGAAGGCTTGCGAGGTCATGTCACTCACAACCTCTAAGTGTATGGCCCGGGTGGCCATGCATATGAATAAACAAATGTAGCCCTTAGTGGCATGGTGACCGCGACCTTTAGTTGACCTGATACTAATAGGTCCTGCATAGTCAACACCACTTCTAAGGAAAGGTCGACTAGCGTTAACTCTAGCTGAAGGCAATGAACCCATTAATGGAGCTGCAGCCCGCGCAGAGTATCGCATGCACTTAACACATTTACGAACATATTGCCTAACAACTCGCTTTGCATTTATGATCCAATATTTGGATCTCAAATAGTTTAATACTAACTGAGGACCACCATGCAATGTGCGCTCATGAGCGTCTGCAATCAATAGATTAGTTAAATGCGAATTATGAGGAATAATGAGAGGATGCTTAGCATTTTCGTGAAGATTGGCTTTATGAAGTCTACCACCAACTCTTAGAAGTTGATCTTTGTCTATATAAGGATTGAGGGAGTTGAGTACCCCTGCCTTGTCTAATTTCCCCTTTGCTTTCAACATTTCAATTTCTGCAATGAAATGTTTCTGTTGACATAATCTTATGCAAGTATGTAATGCCTCGTTAATTTCATTGTGTGTTAAAAAGTTATTGACCTCAATAGTCTTATTTTTGTCCTTAAATTTTAAAAATCTTCTACAGTAGGCGATTACTCTAGTAAGTTTCCTCAAACTTGAATATTTATCTACAATAGAATCCCCGTCTGGTTATTTCGTTACGACATTGCATGCTAGTACCCCTTTCTCTTCTAAGTTGGTTTCTTCGATCAACCTTCTGTTGTAGTTGATTTCAGCACTATGCAACCAACTAGGTCCCTGCATCCATATCACTAAGTCTGCGCACTCGGAAGGATTTATGCCACGCGAAGCGCAATCGGCGGGATTATCCTTAGACTGAACATGCGACCACTGATTACTGTCCATAAAGGTGAGTATATCGGATACTCTATTCCCAACAAAGGTTTTCCAGCGGCTGGGATGGCTGCTTAACCAGGCAAGCACCACTGTTGAGTCCGTCCATGCATGTATGTTAGTCTTGCATACACTTAAGGTGTTAGACACTTCCCGTAGCAGTTTTGATAAAAGCACTGCACCACATAACTCCAAACGAGGTATGGACACCTGTTTAACAGGGGCCACCTTGGTCTTTGAGGCTACAAGACTAACATGCACATTTCCTTCAGAGTCGACGCATCGAGTGTAAACTACTGCTGCATAAGCGATATTAGAGGCGTCAGAAAATCCATGCAACTCTAAAAGAACGTCACTTTTACTTGTACGGATCCAGCGCGGTAATTTAAACTCTTGAACATGGTAAAGGTTATTTCTAAACGTGATCCATTCCTTTAAGAGCTGATCAGGAAGTTCATCATCCCATTCAATACCTGCTAACCAGAGCCGCTGAATAAATATCTTGGCCGTGATCACGACAGGTGCTAACCAACCGAGAGGATCAAATAAACGAGCGATATCCGACACTACTTTGCGTTTAGTCACAGGGGCTTCGAGCAAAGGAAGATTTACAGTATAATTGAAAGTGTCAGTTAGTCTATCCCAAGTGAGACCTAAGATTTTCATTACTGCATCTGATTTTAATTCTAAATTTTCAGTTAATGGTCCATCCTGTATTTTACAATGTAAATCAACATTACTGCTAGACCACTTTTGAAGCTGGAAGCCTCCGCGACTCAACAACTCGTTCATTTGTTGATGTATCTGTTGACCCTCGGCAATGGATTCACAGCCTGATAGAAAATCGTCGACGTAAAAATCCTTGAGAATTCGGTCTTCTATCAAGGTGTAATTGCTTCCTTCATCATGAGCAAGCTGCTGTAGTGTGCGGACGGCCAGGTAAGGAGCGGAAGCTGTCCCGAATGTGACACGTAAGAGTCGGAAATGTTCTAACTCTGCATCTGGTTTGTCACGCCACAGAAAGCGTTGGTAATCAGCATCCTCTCTACTAACTATAACCTGACGGTACATTTTGACTATGTCCGCAACTAAACTAATCGGATGGCGACGCCACCGCATAATAACTTGACGCAAATCAGGTTGTAGGGTTGGGCCCACCATTAATTCCTTATTTAAGGATACACCATTATGGCCAGAACATGAAGCGTCAAAGACGACCCTAACCTTGGTGGTGACTTTATCGTCGCGTACCACCGCGTGATGTGGCAGGTAAAATGCGTCAATATCTAATTCTGCCGGTGGGACAACTTCAGCGTGTCCCAATTGAATATACTCGTTGATAACAGCTCTATACTGTTCCCTAAGTTCTGGTTCTTTAACTAATCTTTTCTCTAGGTTGAGATAACGTCTGCGGGCAATGACCTCGGATGACCTCCCAAGTGCGCATTTGGGGTTTTCTGTATTAAATGGCAGTTTTACTATATATCGCCCGGTTGAATCGCGTTTGGTGGTCTTAGAGTAGAAATCTTCGCACTTCAGTTCTTCCTCATTCAATATCCGCTGAACTGAAGGCTCCGATTCCAATTCCCAAAACTTACGCATGAGGTCATTGACATCTACTGACTGTACTATTGTATGATAACATACAGGCCTAGAGACAGCTGAGGATTGGATTTCGCCTGAGACGATCCATCCAAGTTTGGTCTTTTGTGCGACTGGACTTCCAGGCGGACCCTTAACCAAACCGTCTAAAAGAACTTCTCCAACCACTTGTGCACCTAAGAGCAGATCAATCTTTCCTGGTGTGTGGAATGAAGGATCTGCTAATTGCAAATTTGAGAGTGATGGAGGAACTTGTATAATCTTCCTTTGAGGAAGATTTGTAGTGAGTTTATTCATTACATACGCACTGACATATGAACAATAGTTCGGATCTAGACGAGACTGCAATTTGAATGTCACCATTGACCTAGAGGGGACTGAGCTTCCCTCGTCGTCGCCTAATCTATGTATGCCAGTTTGAGTGGGTACCTTGTGTAACCCAAGAAACTGAACTGCGGCTTCGGTAATTAATGATACCTGAGAGCCCTGATCTAACAAAGCTCTAAAAGTCTGCACAGTTCCGTTTCTGTCAGATTCAACTTGGACCAGGGCTGTTGCCAGCAATCCGAGACTGTGGTCCAGTTGACCTAAATAACAAATGGGTTTCCCTACCGACTCGTTGGTACCCTCCCCACTAGGGGCTGTCGATGTGACGACCGCGGCTGTCACAACCTTGTCTTCTGCTAACCTATTGTTAGAATCAGAGAAACCTACAGTAGCGTCTAAGTGAAGTAGTGAGTGGTGTTTTTTCTTACAAATTTTACATTTTGTTTTTTGTCGGCAGTTATAGACAGAGTGATTTCTTCCCAGACAATTAAAGCATAAGTTACTGACTCGGACGAGGTCACGACGTTCATTACAATTCTTTTTCGAAAACTCTTTACAATTCAACAATTTGTGATCTTCAGAACATAGGATGCATTGTTGGGTTGTGACATTAAATGATTTGACAACTTGAGGCTTACTAGACTTTATGGCTTTTGGATCTAGGTATTCTAATGATCTGAATCTGGATTCGAGAAAAGTTTTAAATTCGTGAAATGTTGGTAAATCATCCAATGCACTGACTTTCGTCTCCCACAATTTGCGAGATTCACAATCTAACTTTTCACCAATTATATAAATTACGATGGCGTCCCAAGAATTAATATTTATGTCTAAGTTCTGCAACCCTTGCAAACAATCTACTGTATTATCCAGTAATGACTTTATATTGGATGCTGTTTCTTTATTAATATTTGGTTGTGTCATTAATCTTTTTAACATGCAATTTGCAAGAAATCGTTTGTTGTCGTATCGTTTAACTAAGATTGACCAACACTCTTCATAATTTGAAGCTGTCACCGGGGTATGGCGCAGTAGCTGCTCTGCCTCCCCTGTTAAATGACCCTTCAAATAATGTAGTTTTTGAACGTCATCCAGGGCTACATTTTTGTGAATTAAAGATAAAAACAAATCCCTGAACGAAGCCCACTCAGTGTATAGTCCCGAAAATGTTGGCAGTGTGATTTTTGGTAATCGAATATTTGACACGACCTTTGAACTTGAATTTGAACTGTTATTACTAGATGTGCCTTGAAATTTACCTATATTATCTTTTAATTGGGACTTGTAATTAAAATATAATTCTTCTATAGTATCGTATAACTCTTTGGTAAAGTACGTATTGCTAGCTATATCTGACTCTGTTGCTTGTATTAAAATACTTTTGTGTGTTTGATTGAAGTCCTTCCACTGACTTTCTAGTGACTCTAACCGAGATGTTACGTAAGTTGGGGTAAGCCTCTCCTTAGGAGATTTTTTAAAGTTAGCGAACCCCTTTTCAATTAAACTTTTATTTACTACTTGTATTTTGATCAAAGATGACAAAGACTCCATGGTTATTTATAATTTTAGAGTTATTAAAGAGAATTGCTAGACAATGTTAACAAGAATTACAAGTCAAGATCTATCACTCGGTAAGAAAGTAACAGGTCAATGAACTAGACAGGTACATGTAAATGGTCAACAGTGACCAAGACATGTATAATTATAAATGGGCCGATTATGACCACACGACACAAGTAGGCCGATAGTGACCAAGACACACACACATAAATGATAATTCTAAAAATGTTCTAACTACAAACAGGTTTAAAGGTCTTTCAGAGTTCAAAGTCAATATAAAGTCTACTTACAGTTTCTCTTCTTGATTACCTTCGCTTTCCGCACACTGCACTTACGAACACTTTGAACGAACACGAACACTTGCACGAACATATACGCGAACGCTTGTACTGGTGTGACACTGTAACACTGATATCACGTTGACATGTGATATTACTATGACACTGCAATCCGGACACACTGCACTCCGGAACCACCGCAATCCAATATCACCACTGGAGAGAGGACTGGCACGCCCTCTACCGTAGACTGCTGCAACTCCCGTGTGCTGCGCTGACAGCGCTTGCACAGCTCGGCAGCTCCGCTTCTCAGCAGCTCCGCTCGAACACCAATCTCACTTCTGTGTGAGATTGTTATGCGGCACTTCAGGGCAATCCACCCTGGTTTCTATGCCGACCTATCCGGCTCGAAGGACCAAATGTTCAGGTACCACTCGGTACTGAACCACAACACTTCACTTTACTTCACTTCACTTCACTTTACTACTGGAAGACTCAAATAAAACAACTTCTTGCTTATGAGAGAACTTAATTTTATTCAAATAGCCAAGGGACCTATATAACGAGCGGAAAATCTTAACACCGCGATACACAAAAATGACGTCATTGCACAACTCCATCTATGGTGGACGAAGGAAAACAATACGCTTGTAGTTTTGCATCGGATGTGCTGCCATCTATGGTACAACGCGTGAAACACTAAGCTACTTGGCGTTGCATCGAATATGCTGCCATCTATTTTAAATGCGTGTTTACATTTACGACTTAACAGGGCCTCCAAGGCGTATAAAAGAGGTATAATACTTATTTCTATAAAATCTATGCGGTATGCCTGTAGCAAGCCTGTAGAGGACGACGAATTTGGATTATTAATTACGGAAATTAGAAAACCGCTGTTGAATTTAACGAACGTTTATAATATTGATAACAGCTTTGTCTACCTTTATTAAAGGTTCATTCACCGTCATTCCCATATTGATTTTTACTTGCAGATATACTACATGAATTCATATTTTACAGGCAAATTTTTTTTCATGAGATAAGCCGGTAAACGAGCTCACGGATCACCTGATGATAAGCAATCGGCGCGGCCAATTGACACCTGGAACACCAGAGGTGTTACAAGTGCGTTACTGGTCTTTTGGGAATCAGGAATTTGAGTATTGTTGGGGATTCAGAGATTGGGGTTATTGGGAAAGGGGGGGGGGGTTAATTGGGCTTCCGCTAACCTCACTCACCCGACGAATCGCAGCGCAAGCGTTGTTTTATGTCGTTATTCTAAGAAATTCCTTAATTAACACTGTCAAAGTAAAACCATATATCAGGGTTCTCCCCGGAAATTCGAAAAGCCTATATTAAGATAGAACACTGACCTATGTCTACCACATGAATGAGTTCGATTCAGACTCTATCCCTCTATTAAAAGAATTTAAAATTGCATAACAGAGCACCTTTTATTAACTTAACACGAATTTAACTTCTAAAATAACCAGCATAAGGTTGGAAATAGAAGTTCGACGTGCGTGGTCAAAGGAGATGTATCTAATGAGTTAAATCAACGATTTGTTTTTCTCACTTAAGTTCAAAATGGAGGTGTTTAGTGTTGAAATAAATAGTGGTGTTTAAAGTACTATAATTCAGTAGTGTAACAACTCAGGCACAATATGGCACGTCTTAGTGTACTCTGTGTTTTAGTTATCGTACTTTCTGTTTACTTGGAAAGATCTGATGCAGGTAAGAAAGATAAACACAAAAAGATTCTATTTTATCTCCTTATTTCCTTGGATTTTTCCTAATTAGGCATTTAGACAGCTAAATACCTAATTAGAAAAAATCCAATATTTGAGAGGTTCATGTATTTTTTATG